GGTTATTCAGGGTTTGTCGGAATCGAATGCAGTCAGATCTGAAGACCGTGTCTCGGAGGACCTTGCTTCTTTTCATGGTCTACTAAATCAGTTACTCCAGGGAGACATTGAAATAAAGGTTCTGAAGGCATTCCGGATAAGAAAACGGAGTGAAGACAGGACAGCAGCACAACCACCTCGTCCTCTCAAAATTATGCTGTAGAACAAAGAGCAAATAAAGTTGATCCTCTCTAAAAAAACCGACCTCAGGAACACACACAAACAGGTTTTTTTTCAACCGGACTATTCACCAGCGGAACGGCTGAAACGCCGGGAACTTGTCTTGGAGTTAAAATCAAGACTGAAGGGTGGCGAACACAATCTGGCTATCTTCAAGGGGAAAGTAGTTCGGAAATATATGCCGTTTCAGTGGAACCAGCCTGTAATAGTAAGAACGACGGCAGCTACTCAGCTAACACAGATACCTTCGTTGAACCACCTGCTCAGGGCGGCAACATAAGTAAGCGCGTAATGTCCAGTGATCTGATTGAAGCAACGCATATAAATGGAACCCATCAGCCCAGAGAACATGGCGTTCGAGATAACAGAGTAATGTTCACAACAGTAACAAATGCAACGGGAAATTCAGCTGGCGCAAAACTCAGATGCTTGTACACGAATGCCCAAAGCCTCATATCGAAACTAGATGAGCTAAAACTTTGCCTTGCCGAGCTGTCTCCAGATGTTTTAGCAGTAACCGAGACCTGACTGTCCGGGAATATTAGCGATAACGAAGTAGCCTTGCCTGGATACCAGATTTATCGGAGGGACAGGGAACATCGTCAGGGTGGTGGTATAGTTGTGTATGTGAATGAAGGCCTGGAAGTGTCGGAAAACACCACCAAGTTTGCGTGCGACACAGAAGCTATTTGGTTGACCATCAAGGCTACCGGTTCCCCGTGTCTCGATGTCCTCACTGTCTACCGACCACCTAGGACAGACTGAATCGCCGACATTCAACTATTAGAGCAGCTGGAGAAATTTTCCGGTCGACCTAACGTCATGATCATGGGCGACTTCAACGCACCAGGAACAAACCGGAATACCCTCCAAGCGTCAGGTCCAAAATCGGCATTCGATTAACGTCTGCTGAACAAAACATTAAAGGCGTCACTCACACAACATGTCATGTTCGCAACGAGAACACGTGAAGGACAAAGGGCAAACTGCCTTGATCTGGTTGTTACGAAAACACCAGACAGCATAGACGAGATCACCTCCATGCCGCCTCTTGGCCGAAGTGATCACATAATGCTGATATGGGATTATTCATTATTCTCCATTTCGCATTATCCAGACCAAAAAAGACGGAATGTTTGGCGAGGCGACTTCAATCAGATGAGGGCGAACTTATCCGGTCTCGACTGGGGCTCGTTGTTTACGGGAAATGCCAACGATGACTGGGAGCTGTTCAAGAATGTCCTTCTGCAGCTTATCAATAACCACTGCCCACTGACCAGTGTAAGACTGAATAAACGCCCTGGGTGGCTAAATAGCAACCTTAAGAACGAAATCAACAGGAAGCACAAATTGTGCAGAAAATACTGCGTCACTGGACAAGCTGAATGCTTCAATACCTACAAGACACAGAGGAAAAAACTGAGGAAGCTAATAATGAAGACGCGGCGGGAATTCGAGAATAACTTGCTACAAAAAGCAACGCAGAACCCAAAATTGCTCTACAGCTACCTCCGACGAAGTACAAGGAACAGGCATCAAATCCCCTTGATAAAGACTACTGATGGCGTTGAGATCGCTGATAGTAGGGATAAAGCTACGTATTTTTCACAGTTTTTCCAATCAGTCAACACAAACGAGGCAAGGTTCCTTCCTCCCTCCACAAAAGAACTGCCGACTCCAAGCGTCAGTGATATGCTCTTCTCAGAAGGCATTGTCCGAAGAGAATTGGAGGCATTGAACGAATCGAAGTCACCAGGACCAGACGAGATTCAACCCAAGCTTCTCAAGGAACTTGCAAGTGAGCTTTTTGTGCCTTTGTCGATGCTCTTTCAAACGTCCTTTGACACTGGAACACTTCCTATCGATTGGAAGCTGGCGCATATTACACCGCTACACATAGGAGGTAACAGGGCAGCGACGACAAATTACAGGCCCATAAGCTTGACATGCATTCTCTGCAAAGTGATGGAAAGGATCATAAAGAGTGAACTGATGCAATTCCTGGAAGTTCACGGCCTTCTATCGAAATGTCAACATGGGTTCCGGAAGGGAAGATCCTGCACGACAAACTTGCTGCAATCTCTCCAGAGCTGGACTCAAGCTCTCGACGACAGGCACGCGGTCCACATAGCCTTCATCGACTTCCAGAAGGCGTTCGACACTGTGCCACACCAGAGGCTCATACATAAACTTAAAAAAATAGGGATCAGTGGCAAATTCCTTAAATGGATTGAAAACTTCCTTGTGGGTCGACACCAGGTTGTCTGCATCGGTCGGGGAAAATCAGATCCGGTTATGGTCGATAGTGGTGTCCCCCAGGGTTCAGTACTGGGACCCATTTTGTTCCTTATCTACGTGGACGATGCTGCAAGAGCTTTAGACTGCGAAGTAGCAATGTTTGCGGATGACATGAAGATATGGAGTGTAATTCGGGGTCCTGCCGACGAAGACAGACTGCAGATGAACCTGAATCGGTTGGAGGAGTGGTCAAACCGTTGGCTCCTGCGGTTCAACGTTGCCAAATGTAGCATACTTCGCCTAGGCCACACAGTCAGTTCGGCCTGCACAAGAGACTACTTTCTGGACGGTGCAGCCTTAAAAGAGGTCGAAGCCCAAAAGGACCTCGGTGTGCTGACGACCAGTTCCCTAAAGCCATCCGCCCACTGTTCGAGAGTGGCAAAAACCGCAATGTCCGTACTGTACTCCATCAAGCGTGCGCTTATGGACTTTGACGAAGAAGCTTTCTCTAAGACATTCGGAACATTCGTCCGGCCGCATTTAGAGTACGACATACAAGCTTGGAGGCCGTGGGCTGTGGAGGATCAAAACTGCCTCGAAAGGGTCCAGAGGAGAGTCACGAAGATGGTTAGGGGTCAAAGCTCCTTTCCTTATGCAACCGGCCTAGTAAATCTGAACCTCTTTCCTTTGAGTTACATGCAACTTCGCGGGGATCTCTTGCAAGCCTTCCGCATTGTTAAGGGGTTGGATTGCAGTCTGGCCTTCGAGGACTTTTTTGAATTTGCTACCACGACCAACCTCCGAGGTCACCCGTTAAAACTGCGCACTCAGCATGCAAGGTTGGATGTACGGAAGTTGTCCTTCTCTGTTCGAGTGGTCAAATCATGGAATGCCCTTCCTGCAGATGTTGTGATGTCACCATCCATGCAAAGTTCTAAAAAGAATCTTGACATATTTATGTTCCAAAATGACCAAGAGCGATGAGAAGTAGAGCTCACCCACTGTAACCCGTTCTCATTTTGTCCTACAATTATGGGCGTGTTTGAACTATTTCAGCCCAGAACATTTATTTGTATACCACACTTTTTTACGTTTCAAATAGGGTACTCAAAGGCTTACGCCTATTTCCCTCAATAAACTGAACTGAATACAGTTTTTCTGCCAACGGAGTTGTTTCGTTGGAACCGAGCAGTGCACCATCCACTTGGCTTAGAAGAAAGCAAACAGACTTGGTGGGCGCAAAATATTTTCCACTTTTTTGTGGCATGCGTGCTCATGGAGCTCTTCAGTCACGCGGCTTGAATCTGTCTGTGTTCTCGCTGCGTCAGGTTTCGGAGTCTGAAGAGCGATGCCTAGTTGGGCTAGGATCTGTTGTCGATTTGGGTCTTATTTGACCTATTTTTGAGATGATATTGCGGAGTTTCTCGGCCTTCTCATCATACTAGCGCTAGTGCTGACATCATACACGATCGATAACGTACTGAATAATGGGTGGGTGACGTTCCGCAGTCGACCACAGTGAGTATCAACAGTGGCATCCGTTTCACAGGTTGCGTTTGTTCCAGACTGAGATTCAAGTAATTGCCAACATATAACCGGCGCTAACCCATGTACAGTAATAAACAGTTCGACCGTCGTTTCCGACGATGTCCTTTGTGTGCTCCACAGCAAGGTGAGAGCAGGGACGGTGACTTGCGCGGGATTAGGTTTATAATGAGTGTAGACTTGTGCAGCATCTACCGCAGTCTCTACTCCCCCCCCCGCCTGGATCCGGTGTCAAAACAGAGTCAAGAAGACCAGAGGCGGGATAGGGCGCAGGTAGATGGCACGGTTGAGTCCGCACCTTGGCGTTCCACTCCACACCCCCTGGTCCACACAGCAAATTACCAAGTTTTTGACCAACGGCAAAAGTGTGGCTGGCGCGGCCGGAGCTGCACTTAGGCGTGCCGCCATACCCGGCTCGGATCCCACAGAATGGGAGTGCCATAAATGCCACGTCAAGAAGGAGCCACTACAGCCTGACTCTTACATCACCAGCCGGCAACTCCACACAAACACAACTGCACAGATTGCATGGTCTGAATTGGGACGTCAGTCAGCAACCTTTCAAGCCACGGCACTTGACGTGCCGTGATAGTCCCCGACTCGAGTCACGCATGCAGTAGAGGAGCCGCATGGGGACGGAGCCCAGACGCACATTTCCCACTTGCGTGGGAGGTGGCAGTTGAATACTGGTGCTGGGTGGTGAAGTTGTGTGATGGAAGTGTTGGTGGGGGGAAGATGCGGTGTTGTGATGTAGCCGACGCTTGTCTGTCGCAGGTTTTCGTGAATGCGCATGTGGCCGAATAGGCCCATGTGGTGAGCGAATGTGTGAGTGCAGTGCGGACAGTTAATGCGGATGCTTCGGGAGTATGCTGGTGCTCCAGGCGCTAGTTTGCCAGTCTCTGTCGGATGCATTCGCAAGTAACTGATCATGCTGCTGTGTGAGGTGAAGGTGCGGTCGCAATGAGGACACGCATGGACCGAGTCGTCATGGCTAGTTTTCACGGTGTGTCGGTTGATGTTTGTTCGTGTGTCTGGATTGTGTGCAGGGGCGGTGGGTACAGGAGCCGCCGCAGATGATCTTGAGGCGAGGAAGGAAGTGGAGGAGGATGGTAGTGGGGGTTCGGGAGCGCGGTCAGTGTCAGTCGTCGGCGTGGGGGACGGGACAAAGTTAGGTTGGGGCACAGCGGCTGGTGTAGTCCGGATGCTGCAGTTGGTACAAAGATGTCCAATGAGACCGACTGGTGTTTGCAACGTCCGCTGGCATCATGGGCAGGTCGGGTTGGTTGAGTCACGACGTTGTGAGGTGGGCGCAGTTGAGATTTGCGAGCCTCGCGTTTGGCTTTGGCGGCGGTGATGTGGTTGGTTTCGTGTATCGTTGCGCCTTTCTCCACTGTCCTCCTCCAATTCGGTCGGTCAAGGGCGAGGTCTTCCCAGTTGACCTCGTTGATTTGAAGACGCTTGAGGAGGTCCTCAGAGTGTCCTATAAGCGACGGATTTGGCCTCCTTGTCGGCTGGAGCCCGCGGAGACATCTACGTAGACGAGATGGCAACCGTCACGGTACCAGGTAGTGTTTTTTCAGAAGGCTGAATCCTTTGCTAGCTTTGGAAATCTGGCAAGCCACCTCATCGTCGATTTTGGTGTTGCAGGAGAGGGTGCTGCTTGGGTAGGTGAAGTTGTCCTTAACTTGCAATGATGCCGTTCACATTGATTTGGGGTTCGATGTAGGCAGCGTCGGGTGGCGGTTGATGCATAACCGCCGCCTACTCCGTGTTTATAATCAGGTCGAAGTTGTTACAGGTGTCGGCGGAGAGGATCACGCTTCTTTGCATGTCCCCTTCCGAAGTGGCGTACGCCAGTCTGGGATTCGGTCATGCTACCTCAGCTTTAGTATTCCACAAAGACAACTGAGGTGGAAGTGGTTGAGTCGGCGTACCTGTTTCATGTACACCGTCCAAGACTCTGCTCTATACAGTAACGTCAGGAGGATGACGGCCTTATACATCTCCAGTTTCTTGCTGAGCTGAAGACCGTGACGATTAAAAACTGTGTTTGGAAGACGAAAGAAGGCTTGACTGGTCTTGGAAATCCAGCTGCAACTTCATTGTCAATTTTGGCGTTGCAGGAGAGGGTACTGCCCAGATACGTGAAATTGGTCACCACTTACAGTTGGGCTCCATTCACGCTGAGTTGCGGCGCAGTGTGGGCTGTGTGAGGTGGCGGTTGGTGCATGACCACCATCTTCTCCGTGTTAATGATCAGACCAAAGTTCTCGCGGGCGGCGGAGAAGAGATCTTTGCTCCCTTGAATGACCTTTTCCGCGGGGATATTGAATACACAGTCGTCGGCGAAGAGAGGTTCATGGACGGTAGCTGTGGATAGACGTGACTGGAAGTCATCCGTCGGCGGTTGGGGAGCCGGCCGTACGTCTTGTAGGAGACGCGGTTCCCAAACCATTCGTCACAGTAGGCGTCCATTAGCATGACGGAGGACATGAGACTAAAGAGGGTAGGCGCGAGGACGCAACCATGCTTCACTCCGCTGGTCACTGAAAATGCTTCTGAGACAGCTCCATTATCCGTGACTCGCGCTATCATGCCGTCGTGGAACTGACGCACCATCTGAGTGAACCGTTCGGGACAGCCGAATATGTGCATGATTTCCCACAGGCCTTTGCGATCCACCGTATCGAAGGGTTTCGTCAGATCAACGAAGGTAGAGTAGAGGTGGGTCCGCATCTCTAAACACTTCTTTGCAGTTGTCGGACGGAGAAGATCATGTCGGTGGTATCGCGATGATATCAGAAGCCGCACTGGCTCTCCGGCGGGAGACTTTGTTCGAGATGGTTGTTCAGACAGTTGAGAAGGATGCAAGCGAAGATCTTCCCGGCGCTCTTCATCAGGAAGATGCCTCAGTGGTTGTCGCAGAGCTGGCGATTACCTTTTCGTTTATAGAGGTGAACGATTATGGCATCCCTGAAATTCTGTGGGACTTCCCTTTGACGCAATATCTCCTGAAAGAACGCCGTCAAATGATCAATGAGTTGGCGACCACCGTGTTTGCAGATCTCAGCAGGGATCGCTGGAGAGCTGGAGCTGGAGAGAGAGCGGGAGGTCGAGGTCGACGTTTGTCTCCACTTGATGCAGACGGCGATGGCGACGTCGGATATGGTGGAGGGACGGTTGAAGACGCCTCGACAGTGCTCGGTCCATTGCTGTAGGATTTGTATCTTCTCAGTGGGTAGGGTACTGCCGTCAGCGATGAGAAGAGGAGCAGTTCCTTTGGTTGGCGGACTGAAGACAGATTTGATCGCGACGTTGCGGTCCGCGTACCCTTGGATCTCCTCGACCTTGCGAGCTGTCGGAGCGTCCTGCACCTCCCGCAGCCGCTGTTGAACAAGGTGGTGACTACGGCAGAAGGCTGCTTTGTTGTCATCGGTGGGGCGGTCGACGTAGGCTTTGTGCAGGCGGTTCTTCTCGGCGAGCGAGGTGCTGATGGCGGCGTCGTTGTCATCGAACCAGTTGTGGTGTTGGCGACGTACGCAACCGAGGACTGCCAGAGCCGTCGACTAGACTGTGTCCCGCAGTTGACACCATCAGTTCGCCACGGAGGCGTTCTCCTCAGTGGCGGCGGTGGCTAACCGTTAAGCTAGCTGGTTGCCGAAATGGAGATGGTGGGCAGGCAAAGACAACAAAGCAATATTCAACTTACCTAGGGGTCACTTAACTTGAGGTCTCCTGTGAGACTATAGGCTAATTCGCATCTTGGAGATAACGAGACGATGGCCGGTCCACCCATCGGTATCCGGGATTGCCTTTGCCACCAGCATGTCCTGCTAGTCTCGCCTCCGGACGAGGACAGAGTCCGGCAGGTGCCAGTGTCACGAGCGAGGCTGCATCCAGATGGCTTTCTCTCGCATCGGGAGGCGGAAGCTATTGCTTAGAATGAGCCGATTTTCTGCGCAGATTCGTAAAAGGAGCAGATCATTGTAATTAGGGCTATTGAGACCACGGGGACCCAGTACCCCTCTCAATGCATGATGGTCTGTGCCGGCGCGGTCGTTGAAGTCACCTAGGACAATCAACTTATCCGCTATCGGCACAGTCGACAGGAGCGCGTGCAGGCCCTCGTAGAATTTGTCCCTTGCGGCGTCAGGCCTGGTCATCCTGGGTAGGGCGTAAACGCTGACGATGGGGGCAAATTCGTCTCCCCGGATAGGCAAGCGGAGGCTCATCAGGCGATCGTTTATGCCCTGCGACAAACAGGACAGTCGTCGCACGATGTTATTCCAGATGGCAAAGCGGACGCTCGCGTCAAGTTACTCTGCATTGGGGCGACGGCTCCAGAAGAAGATGTAGATGGCACCCACCTTCTCCAGTTGGCCTTGATCGGAGAACCTGGTCTCGCTGAGTGCAGCGATGTCCACCTTGTCGCGTGCCAGTTGCCGAGCCATTAGCGCCGTCCTCCGTTCCAGTCGGTTGCTCTTCGGATTGTCTAAAAGAGAAAGAACATTCTAGGCTGCCAGAGCGCGTGGACTCACTCCCTTGAATCTTATCTTTTTGGGTGCTTCTCCCATTTGTTACCCTTATCCTCATTAGCACATTCAAATCATCCCAGAGATATCGGAAAAACTCGCATGGGACAGGCAGGCTTGGAATACCACAGCAAAGCTTGGAGCAGCCATCTTCGAATTAAGGCGAATAACAAGTGCAAAGACAATATCTGATACCACAAGAATCAAGTGCCCTAGGCCAACGACGAATATATCAAACTTGTTCCATCGTGCCTATCTTGCTATCTAACAATTGAACTATCCACGTAATGCATCTACAGATCCAGTACAGTACGGTGTCAACATGACAAAGTCCATTTTCAGATCACAAAACACTGCCTCTATCATCAGTATGACCAGTGGACGCATTCCTACTTCCTGGCCTGCCATTAACACCTTCTTCTAGTCCACCAGCAGTATGTACTCAGCTTCAGCCTCATATTTCAATTACACATTGACCTGGTCGGTTAACAGTTAAGTGGGTCACCAGATTCGTCGGCCTGAGGTTAAATTTATCATTAGCACTATTTTGCCAATCCCCGTTCAGATTCATTCGAAAAAGTATGCAGGTATTCAGAGGTCCTAGCGATAAAGCAGAGAACATAGGATGCTCAATGGTGGGACGCCAACGGTGGTCTGCAATCGTGTAGCAGGTGGTGTTTCGGCTCGCAACATTCTCGACTCCCGAATCCACCCATCCAGTCCTGGTTTAACCTTTAAGACTGGATAATTGGCCAGTTCTCTGTTAGTCATTCGCGATTTCCTCAGTTTTTTTAAAATGAAGATTGGTGGCACTAACTAGTGTCCATCGGATACTGGGACAGCAACTTCAGTATACGTCTGGATGACCATACTTCAAGCTTGGTTGGTAGATGGGAAGAGAATCCAGATAGAGTACTTCCCGAGTTTACTGAGGCGCCGCACTCTAGATTTTCCATTGACACCGTCATGGTCGTGTAATAGGTGTTTTATCATACGGTTCGCTAGCGTTCAGGGCATAGAGGTGAATGGGACTCATGCTGGATGACACCATTCTTCCCCTTAACCCCATGTGGATGTCTTTGAGTCATTCTAGGATTTGTGCTGATAGTTAGACTGTTGTTGATGAACCCGAGGTCAGAGACTTCACTTTGTAGAACAGTCTGTTCTCAGAAACGTACGTCGAATTTGGTCGAAGTGAGGCGAGTGGTCGGAGAGGGAAGGTGACCTTGTGAATCGTGCCATAACTACCGTTTTTTTGTTTTTACATATGCTAGTCTGTGTTTTGCGAACATTCCTATGCTACGCTTGAAAAGTCAAGCCGGCAAACACACGCTTTCGGTAATTCTTCATCAGTAGCTATGTGGCTAACTAATGCAGTGCTATGTCGCCAGAAGACATTGACACAGGCTCTCTGTCCTCCCTGACCGACAAAAACCTCAGATGCTCATCGTACGCCGCCCCAACCCCTTGATGACAGAGATATGTACTCTACGTACTCGACGTACTGACATCACTCACAGTCTGTGTTACCATCTTGCCCGCAATGACCATAACACGTCGATCTCGTCCTGCGGGTGGCGTGGCGACGATGAGTACTAATAAACCCTTAGACACATATAACCCCGGGAAACGTCTCATATCTCCAATTTCTATGTAACTGCATGGGCCTGAGAATGAATTACTGGAAACACGTGTTTGTCAACTTGACTTTTCATTTCGATCCAATTGTGAAAGCTCGGCGTCTCGGTGGGATTCGAAGTCCCGACACAAAGGGCAGGTTTTTGTACGGCCAATGCTCTAGCCACCTGAGCTACGAGGCCCCACTGGGAGACGTGAGTCTTCTTGTTTGTTCTGACGGTCACCTTTGCAGGGCACTGCTCCCCGCCCGCAAATTATCAAGGATATACTGGAGTAGGTCGAGGGCGGTCAATGCCACATTGTGCGGTCATGTATGTGAACAACAAAAAGTAGGAGATGAAGGGCACTTTGCCGATCCGCGCATTGGTAACGAAAATCAAACTTAACAACAATCGTTGACCCTTTAATTTACGGACGCTACGCACTGCCCTCTTGACGACAGAGGTATAAACTGTTTTTGAATTAGAAACAAAGGCCACTGAATATCCCAGTTCTGTAAATTAATCGAATTTTCGCAAATGCGCTATCATGATTGCAGCAGATTTAGGGTTTTCGTGTTCTGTAGTCGTGTAGATAACACACCTGACCTTTATGAATTTTCATGGGCCTCTCCTAATCTGTCAATACCCGAGGCACTACTTCTGCAACGTGCTGTCTTCTGAAGCCACAAAATAGTTAGTCCGGAGACTGACTGCATGCGAGAAATGAGAACCCGCAGCCTGTAAGTAAGTAAAATTGGGTGGTTCCGTGCGCTTTGATATCTAGGAACCTCAAACGCTTTACTGCGTAGAAATTGTGATAACCTAATACGGCCATGTTTTAAGACCATGCGTTAACAGCCTAAAGACCACTAAGCATCATTACAAACCACTGCGCTACGACCGTCTTGAAAAATTACCGTCATTACCGTTACCATCAAAACCACCGCCACCTTCATCAGCTCATCCGCTACAATTAGCATCAGGAGGCACTGAATTGTGACTGCTTTGCTCCTAGACGTCACATGAGGCCGTTCTTGTCAGTTCCTCTGTAACCGCGAACGCAGAGTTATTTGACTACCTATTCAGTCAAATACGCGCCAAAGTGGCCGTTGAGGACAGTGAGCATGGGGCGGAAGCCTTTTGTCACAACTTACCTGCAGGGCGCACACCGTACTGTAGATCATAGGCTGGCGTTTAAGGCTATCCTTCACGCATCACTGGTCATTCCCAACCCTATTTGGAGATCCTGAAATAAAAAAATGCGAGAGGAGTGGTGCAAGCAATTCGCGGACGCCAGGAAACTTACAGGACACCCACCTTTGCTTCTCACCATCCCCACTGACACGACTACACGCGAAATGTTATAACCACATCACGGACGCGGCTGTTCTATGCTGTTTTAAATATTCTGCTGGCCGTTTCATAAGTGGTTAAAAAACAAATTGTTGCCAACAGGCGCATCAATACTGAAAGTGCCAACTATAGCTCATATAATATGGTCGGTCAATAATATCTCAACCTCGGCTATTTAGCATTTCTGTGCAGATATGTTGGCAAATACCAGGACTACTGGCAGAGAATGACCCACAACCACGTGAAGAACCCACACAGGAGTCGATGAGAACTTGATCATGCTGTAAGTTGCCTGCTATTGTCTGTACTTTTATCTGAAACCGGAAAACCAGAGTGCATATAAGGTCCACAGAGTAAGCAAAACAGATTGAACACCAACACAATGCTCAACACCACCTCTTCACTTGCATGCCTAGTGGTGTTGCAGCCTTGTGGGTAGTCGCCTCATTGTGGCCTCTGTCAAGCGATTTGCAGGCTGTTTGCTTCGAAAAATCAAACGAGACGGCGTGTGCCTTCTTATGTATGAATAAGCGGCCAATCCACCTCAACAATCTTTGGTAAACGGCAAGGCAAACATGAACGGTGGTTTGGCATTGCTGACAGCCCGTCCGTCTGACCTAACATGCTGATCATCTGCTCAGTACACTAGCAGCGGTCTGTGCCCCGTATTTGTGAAAAAATCTGGTGATGCCTGTATAAAGCCGTAATAAATGAAGAACAAACCTCATGCATCACATGTAGCACTAGCAGACAGGCAGATATAAGTTTACATGAATGGTGACATTAGAATTCACAGGTCTGTTACAACTGCGGGCTCTCTAGAACATAAATATCCCCATGCATTCTGATATCGCATCTACAGAAGGCGGAACATGTTGAAAATATGCACAAAAGAAACGAAGTTTTATGCTTTTGGCAACAAAATATTCCTGTCGGTCGAAACATTGGAGAATTCGGATCACTGAAAATAAATGGAAGAACTGTGCACTAGATATGTATCGACGTCGTGCGATCGCAGCCAACGCGTGTCTGCATGCTGTTTTTAGTGAAATGGCTAGGCCGTTCTTAGTCATTGCTAAGCGATATTGAAATTCCAACGAGACAATCCATTTTCCTTAAAATCTAGTGAATACCTTTTAACCAGTGCTCCTCTCTTCTCACTGACTGCAGATCTTGCTGATCGGGTGTATCGGCACAGAGAGCGAATAATTTGCAACGTAAGCAGTTGCTGGGACTCCTGCCATCGTAAGCATTTGGCTTAGGCTAAATTCACATATTGCTATAAAAGCAAAACTGAATAATTCATTATCGGATCTTTTTGGGCGACGCCCAACGGAAACGAACTGACACGTCAATCAAAGCTTGCTTTTGCTACTCCATAATCTCCTAGAAAACACGAAGGTCTAGGTTGAAACACTTGCCTGCATTTTAAACTGACTGACGGACTTGTACGTACATTTGATAGTTTACCCTTCTTCACATAAACAACCATTGTTTTGGACACCACCCTTCCGTGTCCGGCTTGTTTAGGGCGGTAAAGTAACAGGAAATTGGGGAGTCGCAGCTAATAGAGATTCGAATTAGGCAAACCTTTCTGTAGCCAGAACAAATATGTTGTAAAAGCATTTGTAGAATGCCTTCATGGCGACTGAGGAAAGTCGTCGCGTGTCTGCGAAATAGATGACGCTGCAGCGAAGCATTGTGACTGGCCAAATGCGCGCTTTTCGATGTACGACGCGAACGAGCCTTAACTTAAAAAAGTCAGATCAGTCGTTTAAATAAACAAAGAATGTGATAGGGAACGCAGTATTTGAAATTCCAACGTGATTTCTGCCAGTACCTAGCGATAACTCACCATTTGGTCCTTTTCTGAACTCACAAGACTGATGCCAATACCTGCAACTATCAACCCTGCCTGTGTCTTATTGATGATTATAAATTGGCCGAGGGAAATTGTTTCACTAATACTATAGATTAATTAACTCCCGAGACATTCGCTGAAGTTCTGAGATATGATGTCGTTGCACACGAGTCCTTTGCATGCAGAATAATCCCGAAGTAAATCAGTCATGACGGAATATCGGCTTTCCTATTCACCTGCAAAATCATACTCGCTAAAATGACTATAAATTCATATTGGTTTTTCCACTAGCTTTGGACGCTTTTGTAAATCCAAGCCGTTTACAGGAAGATTGCACGAAAACATCCCTTCGTATGAACCGGTTTGAGGTTGCCTAACTGTTCCTTTCAGTCTTTTTCTCTGTCATCCCCAGTCATATGAGCCTCAATCGACGCAGGCGGTTGGGGTTGAAAGCGTTTCCAACGAAAGTATTATACTGGCTAGAGGACTTACTTGAAAAGACCGATCGTCAGTCTGAACAAGCGGAGTTCCGGCACCTATGACACAAACAGTCCTCTGCGATGACAGGAAACATTCTAGTTTAATTTGGAACCAAATATATAAACTCCTAATAACGTAGAATCCAAATAAAATAGCAACCTATAAGGCTGTATTAAAGCCGAAACAGTAAAATCAACCTTCTGGATAAGCTTTAGGCCAAATAACTGAAACAAGTGTGCCCTGGCGAAATGCAATTTACACATATTCTGAAGCACCGCCCGTCGGATCCCCACGACCTGCAGTTTGTCCATCTTGCGAGATGAAAATAGTTACCAGTAGAAAGCGGTCCACAGAAGCCACAGTTTGGATTATTTTGACTACCTGTTGCATGACAGTGATGCTAGTCAAACGAACACTGGGCGAATTCCAAAAGTGTGTGAATGTTGCAGGTGAATGACCTTGCGTCGACCACACTGACAGTTTTGTCTTATTGATTGCGAAATGGAAGAGTAAGTCGCCTACTCTACCGTTTACATACTACTAGTCTGAATAGCATATTTCGTGAAAAAACTTCATGTTCTTCTGCCAGACACCAAGCAAGATGAACAGCGCCGACATCTGTAAAAAACATGAGCATTGAAGCTGTCGCTTTGCAGCTAGTGTTGACTTTCAGCAGGCATTTCTCCATCAACTCCATCTCCGCGGTTGGAGACTTTGGTCTCCTTCTAGTTGACTTAATTACAAAGCTAGGAATATGGTAGTGTCAAGTGCATATTCTAGGCAGTCTCATTTAGTAAAGGAAACTGCTTATTGTTAGACACATTGAGATCTTCCGTTAGCCGGACGTTGACTACCAGTCATGAACTTAGGCGCCGGAAAGTGGACCGGCCTTCAACGAGGACCGATTTCTAAATGTGAAAGTGCCTGAGTCATTCGGATCTGTTGACACGGCGGTCATTGCCAGTAATAACACTATGCCGATGACTAGGGTAGGTCAAGGCGCATGTCGCACAACATTTCGTAGATTCGTATGTATATGCCGTGTCAAGACAATAATGGCCAGCAGTAAAATACTGCTGCGTCGTAGTTGGTCTACATGTAATTCAAGCATTAGAAGGGACAACCCCAACCTAATCAGCCTCTTACGTGCTTGTGACCCGCTTCTGTCGGAAAGACTCAACTTCTTGCTTTTAATTATCCACAAGAGCCAGTATGACATGTGTGACGACACCCGTGGT